CCATCCTCCTGTTGTTAACATTGATCTTCTTTGTTTTTGTTGTTGAATGCTGAGCACAAATGACGTCGCTGTCGACCGGCTTACATCACTTCCTAGTACACACTGTCGCTGCGAATGCAACCCATTAAATGGTACTGGGAAACAGTTCACGCAAAATCATCCCAGTACTTTAGTACTGGCACTAAAGCGGTGCGAAAGGCCCTAATGACCTCTGGCACCAAGCCCAGGAGGGAAAGGACTTCTTATTGGTCCACATGCAATTTCTGCCCTTCCCTTATCTCAAAACAAAGGGGTAGGTCAGGACTGTCAAAAAAATCTGTAGGATAAGGTGACCATACCTGCCATTTTCTGGAGACACGTTTTGGCCATGATTTCTATATTGCCTAAAATGACTAGGTTTTGTCTGTTTGCGCTGTGCAGATCAATCGTTGTATGACATCTAAGTGCCGCTTCAAGTCGAAGACAGCTGATATGTACGCGTATTTGCATCGCTTTGATCGTTCTCTGTAGATCCCACCTTCTCACGCACCATGATTGGTCGATTATGTACAATGCCTGCATGTTATTGGTTAAACTTGATCGTTCTCCCACCTTCTCACGCACCATGATTGGTCGATTATGTACAATGCCTGCATGTTATTGGTTAAACTACTTTACTACTTTTACTTTCAGCATGTATGAAAACAGGAAAAAAAAGCCAAAACCTGGATATTTTAGGCAATATAGAAATCCTGGCAAAAACGTGTCCCCGGAAAATGGCACTATGGTCATCTTACTGTAGGACCTCTGCATGCAGCAGTATTGATTGAAACAAAGAGAGGCCACAATAATCCATCCAAATCCATTCATAAATATGTTTGCAAACCTTTCAATTGATGTTATCTACAACACTCCTATTTCATAATTATTCAGTGCAATAAGTTTTCTCTGTGACACTATTTGTAGTGCAAAATCTTACAGAAATTCAGCTGTTTGCGTACAAATGAATACATGAATGACAGTTTAATGGTTTCTCATCATGTTTGTACTCTGTTCAGAACATTGCCAAAGGCATTTCTTGTAGTGATCGGGCAAGTGAGTAATGCATTGGTAAAACTTGTTCTAACTATGTGTTTTGAACTATGAAAAAGAGTTTCAGTGGGGAAAGAAGGGTCAGCCACACTGTGTGTGACCCTTGGCCTGATTAGTTGGGGACACTTAATTTCCAGCGATATCGAGTAGACATGGATTGGCCAAACGCGTACGAAAACGCCCTCACCCGCCACGATTTAAAACGCCGCGTAAACATTGTGTCAACTTATTTCGAAGTATGGAGAACAGCGATAGATGGACAGACGCTGAAGTGCACATTTGAAGTGCAGCAAATGTAGCACTGCCAGTTGTCGTTGGAGATTCTTAGTCCTCCTTTCCGTTCTTTCAATCGCTTTACGTATACGTCGACATTCCATGCCCATTATTGTGAAACCCGCGAGACACAACAAAAACACAGTTCCGGTCACAGCGTCCTCCATCCTCCTGTTGTTAACATTGATCTTCTTTGTTTTTGTTGTTGAATGCTGAGCACAAATGACGTCGCTGTCGACCGGCTTACATCACTTCCTAGTACACACTGTCGCTGCGAATGCAACCCATTAAATGGTACTGGGAAACAGTTCACGCAAAATCATCCCAGTACTTTAGTACTGGCACTAAAGCGGTGCGAAAGGCCCTAATGACCTCTGGCACCAAGCCCAGGAGGGAAAGGACTTCTTATTGGTCCACATGCAATTTCTGCCCTTCACTTATCTCAAAACAAAGGGGTAGGTCAGGACTGTCAAAAAAAATCTAGGATAAGGTGACCATACCTGCCATTTTCTGGAGACACGTTTTGGCCATGATTTCTATATTGCCTAAAATGACTAGGTTTTGTCTGTTTGCGCTGTGCAGATCAATCGTTGTATGACATCTAAGTGCCGCTTCAAGTCGAAGACAGCTGATATGTACGCGTATTTGCATCGCTTTGATCGTTCTCTGTAGATCCCACCTTCTCACGCACCATGATTGGTCGATTATGTACAATGCCTGCATGTTATTGGTTAAACTACTTTTAGATCATTACTTTCAGCATGTATGAAAACAGGAAAAAAAAGCCAAAACCTGGATATTTTAGGCAATATAGAAATCCTGGCAAAAACGTGTCCCCGGAAAATGGCACTATGGTCATCTTACTGTAGGACCTCTGCATGCAGCAGTATTGATTGAAACAAAGAGAGGCCACAATAATCCATCCAAATCCATTCATAAATATGTTTGCAAACCTTTCAATTGATGTTATCTACAACACTCCTATTTCATAATTATTCAGTGCAATAAGTTTTCTCTGTGACACTATTTGTAGTGCAAAATCTTACAGAAATTCAGCTGTTTGCGTACAAATGAATACATGAATGACAGTTTAATGGTTTCCCATCATGTTTGTACTCTGTTCAGAACATTGCCAAAGGCATTTCTTGTAGTGATCGGGCAAGTGAGTAATGCATTGGTAAAACTTGTTCTAACTATGTGTTTTGAACTATGAAAAAGAGTTTCAGTGGGGAAAGAAGGGTCAGCCACACTGTGTGTGACCCTTGGCCTGATTAGTTGGGGACACTTAATTTCCAGCGATATCGTCCACTTGATTGCACAAATACTATTTAAACTGAACTGAGCTGGATTATGAAATCACTGAATTCAATGATGAACTGCCTTTAATTGAAAACTGAGTGTTTACTACAGTCCTTTTGCATTATCGACACACTATTTTCCTATTTAATACTGTAAAGCTGCTTTGATACAATCTGTATTGTTAAAAGCGTTATATAAATAAAGTTGACTTGACCCCTCTGAGGCTAACAGCCAACCACAGCACCTCATTGAAACAGATACTCCTAGTTCTGGTCTGTCCAGAGAGACATTAAAGGGTTCATATGATTGTGATGAGTGGGGGTGGGGCCGAGAGCCGTGGGAACGGAGCGAGGCCGGTGGAGTAAGTGATAATGCACGACACCTGCACCACTCACCGGTCTCGAGTCCCACGGAGGAGTGACGACAGTGCAAGACGAGAGAGGACCAGGCCTGGACTTTATTTCGTGTTTTGGTTCTGTTTGTGCGCGACAATCGTCCGCGAGGGGCTATCACGCTGTTTTGTGTTTATTTTATTATTAAAGTTTTGTTTAAATGTTAGCTGGTTCCCGCCTCCTTCTTCTCGATCTACAAACTGTTACATTGGTGCCGAAACCCGGGAGGAAGGAGGGACACGCTGCCAGATATCCCTCGCCGCTGTGGTGAATCCGCGGTGCCATCGAGCATGGTGGAGCAGTCTGTCACCATGGATGCTCGAGAGTGATAATGCACGACACCTGCACCACTCACCGGTCTCGAGTCCCACGGAGGAGTGACGACAGTGCAAGACGAGAGAGGACCAGGCCTGGACTTTATTTCGTGTTTTGGTTCTGTTTGTGCGCGACAATCGTCCGCGAGGGGCTATCACGCTGTTTTGTGTTTATTTTATTATTAAAGTTTTGTTTAAATGTTAGCTGGTTCCCGCCTCCTTCTTCTCGATCTACAAACTGTTACATTGGTGCCGAAACCCGGGAGGAAGGAGGGACACGCTGCCAGATATCCCTCGCCGCTGTGGTGAATCCGCGGTGCCATCGAGCATGGTGGAGCAGTCTGTCACCATGGATGCTCGAGGCGGTGGGCTGGAGTGAGTTGCCAGGGGGGGGCCAACTCGCTGCCGGCCGCCTGGGCTGTGGAGGGACGGCTGCCGTCCGTGAGGGAGCGGAGGAGTCGCCGCCGTTCACCTGAGGCCGGAGCCTGCTGCCATCCGCCATGATGGGGAGGCGTGGTTGACTCTTAACTTTTATAAAGAATATCTCTTTGGATTTGAGACTTTAGATTTTGCAACTTTACATATCTTCTTTATGCACCAAGAGCTTGTAACACTTTAAAGAGAAAGAAAAAAATTGATATCGCATCATATGACCCTTTTAACAGATACACCCAGTTCTAAGTCTCTGGACCATGAGGAAAGGGATCATGTTAAGGGACTATGTTAAGTGTTTACTCTGGGTGTTGTGGACTGGCCACACCAAAGCTTTGTCACATCACGCCGCCATGCCAGTGCCTCCTCATGCCACAGTCACCACACTAAAGCCTCTTCATTGGTGAATGGATCCACATTCTTTGGTCAGTGTGAGAAGTGGACAAATCAAAGGCACCAGTCTTAATGCTTCCTCTGTTCCTGTGGTCCTGGAGGCCTTTCCACTGTGAGTTGCAATTTCTGTATTGGCAACCCCCATCCTTTGTTTTTGGGCCATACACACATTCCCAAGGTGGCAGATTCCACTACAGCTCCCTCAGAGGTGGTGGTGTCTGCTCCTGAACTTAATGTGCCCCATGTCATGGCCATGGACATTGCCCGCAAACTTTCTGTGTCCCCTTTTATGGCCACGGAGGCCATCCTGATCTCCAGTGGTCTTCCATTTGATCAAGGCCTTCATACTTGTAGAGGACTTCTGCTCTGCTGTGGACCCATGTTTTGCAAACGCCGCCTTGGTGGTCATCTCCCCCACTAGCTCTGCCCTGGTGGTCCATATCTCTGCTGGCTCTACCATGGCCACTTGATCTTCATAGTCTCATCCATTTCTCCACAGTCCAGGCCCACCACTGGTTCACAGTCCAGGCCTGCCACTACACCACCATTAATGTTCTCATCCATTGCTACACAGCTTTTGTATTTTTGTAAAGTGATAATTTGGTGAGGTGGAAAGGCAGAGAGAAAAAAAGTAGAAGAGAGGAGTGGCAACTAGGGACTTTCAAACATGGATACAAACAATCACTCAAATTCACAGGTTCGATCTACCCAGAGGAGATGGAGACAGTACTGCCAATTAAAACCAATATTTATTACATAGAGAATGTTGTGTGATTTTCACATGAAACTATTTTTGGAGTACATTCAGTACTTTTATCTGTTACACCATCTGTGTAATCATGAAAAGTGTGCTCATTTCCTCTTATGTGTTTCCTGTTCTACCCAATGACAGGTCATCGCAAGATGCCATATATCCATATATCTGCTGTAACTTTGATGCTTTTGAAGCTTTTCAACCAGAGATTTTCTGCACATAGAGGTTTTCCCTGTATAAGCTTGTGAAAGGAAGCATTCTTCATTAATGAAAATGGTTGCACATTTTCAATAATGAATCAAAAATCAGTGCATTCACTTTCCTCGGAGTGGTGAATCATCATGTTTTGCTTGTTTTACAGGGAGACCAAATAGGCTGTTCGTGGTGGCACTGCGTTTTCCACCATTATCACTATATGATGCTGACATCCTTTTCCTTAATGTAATCTGCATTATATACTGTATATATACAATTGTTGGACTTGTAACCCGAAGGTTGTGGGTTTGGGTATCAGGTCTGGCAGAGTTTGTAGTGGGTGGAGTAAATAACCAGCACTCTCTTCCACCCTCAAATCCATGACTGAGGTGAGACCATTGAGCAAGGCAACAAACCCCTAACTGCTCCCAGGGCGCCACAGCAATATAGCTGCCCACTGCTCCAGATGTGTGTTCACGGTGTATGGTGCTGCTGACACAGAAAAGCATACGTTGTATGCAGGGCCGGATTTACGCATACGCATTCTAGGCACGTGCCTATGTTCGCTCGTCCAGGGGGGCCCAAACACAATGAAGAGATATATAATATTTATGTTATGGGCTATCTACAACAGTAAAAGAACCAAAACCCCAGAAGACATTGAGCAAATTAATATAACAAACAATAGGGTAAAAAAATGACAAACTATTTCCATGTCTTCCACCTTTTTTATGTAGGCTACGGAAATCACGCTTTCTTTCTCCCAGTCTCTCTCACAGACGCACACACAGTGCAGACACGCACATGCGGAGATGCGAAAAGAAACTTCTTGTCAGCGCTGCCCCGCGAATTTATCAATAAAATAGTTTCGCAGCTGAAAAGCTACATGACATTTCTCAGTTGCGAGGTTCTTGAAGCAGTTTAACTTAAAGATTCGCTATTAGTAGACGCTGCTGCTGAACGCTGCTGAGAGACGCATAGACGCAGGTATTCACACACGCTTAATTTCTCTCTCTCCCTCTCTTTCGCTCTCACTCTCTCTAATAACCGCATTAGACTGCATTAATAACTGCATTAGCCTGCATATCAATGGCTCAAGCCTCCGTTATTAGCTCTAAAATGGAATTTGGGAATTTGGTTATTATTTGGCCACATCGCCGCGCCTATTAATGGTATGGTCTTTCTCAGTTCTCAAACAAATTAAGAACTACATTAGATTTTTATTGACTGAACGCAAGCGATTATTGCGATAGAAAACACTGTAACCTTTTCCACTGATTAAGAAGGTTCTTGAAGCAGTTTAACTGAAAGATTCGCTATTAGTAGACGCTGCTGCTGAACGCTGCTGAGAGACGCATAGACGCAGGTATTCACACACGCTTGATTTCTCTCTCTCCCTCTCTTTCGATCTCTCTCTCTAATAACCGCATTAGACTGCATTAATAACTGCATTAGCCTGCATATCAATGGCTCAAGCCTCCGTTATTAGCTCTAAAATGGAATTTGGGAATTTGGTTATTATTTGGCCACATCGCCGCGCCTATTAATGGTATGGTCTTTCTCAGTTCTCAAACAAATTAAGAACTACATTAGATTTTTATTGACTGAACGCAAGCGATTATTGCGATAGAAAACACTGTAACCTTTTCCACTGATTAAGAAATATTTTTGTTTGCTTGGGAGGTAATATTAGGCCTAACATATTAATAGGGAAAGGGGGGCCCAAAAATTTGTTTTGCCTATGTCACGAAAAGAGGTAAATCCCTGGTTGTATGCGTATGTGATACTCTCCAAAATGGCGCTATAGGGTAAGGTGGAGGAGACGAATTGTTGAATAAAGTTGTTATTTTTGTTTTCTTTGCGCACACAAAGTATTCTCGTAGCCTCGTAAATTTACGGTTGAACCACTGATGTCTCATGGATTATTTCAACGATCTCCTTGCTACATTTCTGAGCCTTGATCGTGTTAGGATCCTTGCTGTCTATGGGAGGGTCAGAGAGCTCTCGGAATGCATCAAAAATATCTTAATTTGTGTTCCGAAGCTGAACAAAGGTCTTGCAGGTTTGGAACGACATGAGGGTGAGTAATTAATGACAGAATTTTAATTTTTGGGTGAACTATCCCTTTAAATGCAGAGCACAAATTCCAAGTATGGGTCACCATACTTGGTTACATGTCACTTCGCTTCAGTTTTCACTCACTTTTAAATGTTAATTATATAAGGATTTTGTGTCATTTTTAAAAGACCTACTTCAAATTTTAAGGAATATTAAATGTAATGATAACCGTACAATGCTCAAAGTATGAGCAAATAGGAACATAAGAGTTACTGGATAAACTTTTTTAAAGATCAAGAACAACTTGCCACAATATCCTGTAACAGTTGGCGTTCTGTAGTAACTGTAGTCTGTCGTACCAACCGTACACAACAAAGCAAGGGAAACCCTAATAATGCAACACTATCTGTTAAAAAGGGAGTCAGACAACCGGACACGAAAAGAGGTAAATCCCTGGTTGTATGCGTATGTGATACTCTCCAAAATGGCGCTATAGGGTAAGGTGGAGGAGACGAATTGTTGTTATTTTTGTTTTCTTTGCGCACACAAAGTATTCTCGTAGCCTCGTAAAGTTACGGTTGAACCACTGATGTCTCATGGATTATTTCAACGATCTCCTTGCTACATTTCTGAGCCTTGATCGTGTTAGGATCCTTGCTGTCTATGGGAGGGTCAGAGAGCTCTCGGAATGCATCAAAAATATCTTAATTTGTGTTCCGAAGCTGAACAAAGGTCTTGCAGGTTTGGAACGACATGAGGGTGAGTAATTAATGACAGAATTTTCATTTTTGGGTGAACTATCCCTTTAAATGCAGAGCACAAATTCCAAGTATGGGTCACCATACTTGGTTAAATGTCACTTCGCTTCAGTTTTCACTCACTTTTAAATGTTAATTATATAAGGATTTTGTGTCATTTTTAAAAGACCTACTTCAAATTTTAAGGAATATTAAATGTAATGATAACCGTACAATGCTCAAAGTATGAGCAAATAGGAACATAAGAGTTACTGGATAAACTTTTTTAAAGATCAAGAACAACTTGCCACAATATCCTGTAACAGTTGGCGTTCTGTAGTAACTGTAGTCTGTCGTACCAACCGTACACAACAAAGCAAGGGAAACCCTAATAATGCAACACTTTCTGTTAAAAAGGGAGTCAGACAACCGGATAAAGTATCAAAGTGCCTAAGTGTATTTATAAATCATATATACAATATTTCACAATTCAAAGTTCCAAGTAAGAGTGTGAGAGTTTGTGTGTGTGTGTGTGTACGAGTCCCAAAGTTCAATATATATGTACAAAGTTCAGATTAGGCTCACCAGAGCTGAAGAGACTATGAGCGGTCCATACATCAGCGGTATCCGTCCCCACCGGAAAGCATTCCACAAGGAAAAAACCTCCCAAAAAATTATACTCCACAGTAGGCATGGGCCGATTACCGGTTTCAAGGTATACCGCGATTTGAAAATGTCATGGTTTCAAAACCACTAATATTTTCCGTTATACCGTTCCTGCGGTATGCGCTGTTTTTCATGTCTCCTCAAAGACTGAAAGTGTAGGAATCCCTCAGCCAAGTAAGAGTGTGAGAGTTTGTGTGTGTGAGTGTACGAGTCCCAAAGTTCATTATATACACAAAGTTCAGATCAGGCTCACCGGCGCTGGAGAGACTATGAGCGGTCCATACATCAGCGGTATCCGTCCCCACCGGAAAGCATTCCACAAGGAAAAAACCTCCCAAAAAATTATACTCCACAGTAGGCATGGGCCGATTACCGGTTTCAAGGTATACCGCGATTTGAAAATGTCATGGTTTCAAAACCACTAATATTTTCCGTTATACCGTTCCTGCGGTATGCGCTGTTTTTCATGTCTCCTCAAAGACTGAAAGTGTAGGAATCCCTCAGGTTGAGTGCAGTGTAGAGAGTAACACGACCCTCCAACACGACGGATGGCCGAACTTAAGGAGCTGCCCCTGGAACTTACGCGATCGGCAACTGGCTGTGTTTTTGTCTTATTGCAGCTCGTCTCTGTTCTGGACTTGCACAAACTGCGTTGCAATGCAATCATTTGCCAAAATGTCATTTATGTGAAAATTTGAAATCTGTAAATGCCTGTTAACACAGGCCAGAGATGCTGAAGACGGACGCAAAGAGAAAAATACTGTAGCAGGCAGATCACTCACTGTTCATGATGCACGAACTATTGGAAGAAAGTCCTCAATATTGATTTGGGGGATTATATGAATGTGTTTCTGAGGGGAACTGACTGTCTTTAGAAAAGTTTACGTGGTATTTTCTTTTTTCATCTCATCTCTGTATAGTTCATATTAAAGCAGTGTTTCAGTGCAGCTCTGCTTTGTTTACAGCGGTAACCGAGGAAACACTGTATCTGCTGTTCCATGAGTGCCTCCTGCTGGCAGAGAGTGAATCTGCATCTCATTCAGAGCTTCTGCTGTTTGCTTCGTTCAGGCATGTAGTATAATTTCACAAAGCTAGTCAGAACATTCTGTTTTTGCTTCAAATTGGGTTAATCTCATACCGGCCCATGCCTACTCCACTGTGAGATCGCTCGTCAATAATCCAGCAAAATCCGGGAAAGAGGGTATCCCTGGGTTGTGTAGCCTAACTCATTTAAGAGTCCGTTACACACACCGCTTCCTCAAAACGCTGATTGCCGCTCTTACCCGTTCAAAAAATCAAAACATTGAGAAAAAATGCAAGTGATCGCGCTGGCGCCTCCTTGTCCTGCAAAGTGCGCTTTAGCTTCCACTCTCCGCACAAACTATTGGATATAGCGCACACTTATCTAGGTTTAACGTTTAAACATTGTTATATGCTTGAAGTGTTTTATATCTATAAATTTTATTTTAGGCAAGTCGTGATGATTTGAGAAGGCTAAATTGATCAAACATAGGCTCACTGTCTGCTGTTGGGCGCTTGGTCGTTACTTAAAAAAAAAAAAAACTAAAACGTATATTTAACAAACAAAAAATGCTCCAAACGTTTTTTTAAATTAACTTAATAAAAAAAACGAAACGAAATATAATATAATAACTTTGCCATTACATACAAAACGGAACTATTTTAATAGCTGAAACAGTAGTTTAATCTGTTTTGGCAGAAGGGGAAAAAAGACGCGCTCGGGCCGGTAATTCTGATAAGCTTGTCGGACACGGGCCGGGCTAGGGCCTGAGCATCTCAGGCCAGGGCTGGGCTAGGGCCTAAATTTGAGTTCCATTAAAATTTCAGTAAATTAATAAAAAACTGAAACAAAATATAATCTAAACTTTGCTATTACATACAAAACTGAACTATTTTAATAGCTGAAACAGTAGTTTAATCTGTTTTGGCAGAAGGGGAAAAAAGACGCGCTCGGGCCGGTAATTCTGATAAGCTTGTCGGACACGGGCCGGGCTAGGGCCTGAGCATCTCAGGCCAGGGCTGGGCTAGGGCCTAAATTTGAGTTCCATTAAAATTTCAGTAAATTTTAAAATCCAGTAAACTTTGTTTACATTCCAAGGCAGACTGCCGGCAACAGCCATTTTAGGAAAGATTGTGGCTTGGTCTTAGTGACTTAGGAGTCCTCTTCACTACTCCTAACGTTTCACAGATTTAGGAGCTAGTTTTAGAGCTAAAACGCTTTGTGAAATACTCTTAGAACAAAAATGTAGGAGTCCTAAATTTAGTTCTCCTAAATCGGTGAGTTATAAGCTACTTTTAGCCTTAAGATGTTTTGTGAATACGGGCCCAGTTCTCTCTTGAGTGAATCGTCATCCAAACGTTTTTTTAAATTAACTTCATAAAAAACTGAAACAAAATATAATCTAAACTTTGCTATTACATACAAAACGGAACTATTTTAATAGCTGAAACAGTAGTTTAATCTGTTTTGGCAGAAGGGGAAAAAAGACGCGCTCGGGCCGGTAATTCTGATAAGCTTGTCGGACACGGGCCGGGCTAGGGCCTGAGCATCTCAGGCCAGGGCTGGGCTAGGGCCTAAATTTGAGTTCCATTAAAATTTCAGTAAATTTTAAAATCCAGTAAACTTTGTTTACATTCCAAGGCAGACTGCCGGCAACAGCCATTTTAGGAAAGATTGTGGCTTGGTCTTAGTGACTTAGGAGTCCTCTTCACTACTCCTAACGTTTCACAGATTTAGGAGCTAGTTTTAGAGCTAAAACGCTTTGTGAAATACTCTTAGAACAAAAATGTAGGAGTCCTAAATTTAGTTCTCCTAAATCGGTGAGTTATAAGCTACTTTTAGCCTTAAGATGTTTTGTGAATACGGGCCCAGTTCTCTCTTGAGTGAATCGTCATGTGGTGATTAAGGGATACGTTGAATCTGAAACTCTTTCCACACTGATCACATACAAATGGCTTCTCTCCAGTGTGAATTCTCACATGGGAAGTAAGGGTTGATTTAAGTGTAAAACTCCTTCCACAATGAGGGCATGTGTAAGGTTTCTCTCCAGTATGCATTCTCATGTGGCGTTTAAGGCTTCCTTTTTGAGTGAAACTTATTCCACACTTTTGGCAGGTGAAGGGGATCTCTCCGGTGTGAATTCTCACGTGGACTTTAAGGTTTCCTTTTCTGTTGAAGCTTTTTCCACACTGTTGGCAGGTAAAAGGCATCTCTCCAGTGTGAATTCTCATGTGGACTTTGAGGTTTCCATGTTGATCAAATTTCTTTCCACATTGAGGACATGTGAATGGCTTCTCTCCAGTGTGAATTCTCATGTGGACTTTCAGACTTACTTTTCGATTAAATCCTTTTCCACACTCTTGGCAGATGAAATGTTTCTCTCCAGTGTGAAGTCTCATGTGGACTTTAAGGCTTCTTTCTTGAGTGAAACTTATTCCACACTGATGGCAGGTAAAACGTCTCTCTCTAGTGTGAATTTTCATGTGGACATTAAGGTTTCCTTTTCTGTTGAAACTTTTATTGCACTGTTGGCAGGTGAAAGGGTTCTCTCCAGTGTGAATTCTCATGTGGACTTTAAGGTTTCCATGTTGACCGAAACTCTGTCCACACTGTTGGCAAGTGAAATCATTTCCACTTCCTGTCTTTTGAGCTCTTTTTCGAGAGGAAGACTTTTCAGTCTGTGAGCAACTAAATTTTTCTCCAGTTATGAAATCATGATGTTCCTCATGCTGATCTTGCTCTTCTGATTTATTCAGTCCTTGACTCTCTTCTTTCTGTGCAATCATGTCTAAGGTGAAAAGAGCCAAATACACATCAACCAAAGTTTAATGGCATAAAGACAACAGACAAAACCAACAACATTGATGCTAGATCCTATACCCCCTAAGATACTGAAACAGGTGTTTCCTGCAATCCCAGACTCTCTTCTTAATATTATTGACTCTATGCTTATTTTTATGTCCCAAAAAAGTTTAAGCTGTCAGATGTTAAACCCCTTAAGAAGAAGAAAAAACATAGCTTAACCCAAGGGAAATGGTTAATTAGACACTAATCTCAAACCTGCCATTTTCATCTAAAATATTAGAAAAAATAGCATCCTTGCACATATGTTCAGTGTTGCACGAAAAACCGTTCTGTTTTTTTTCAGTTTATAGTGCTTTCAGATCTCTCCACAGTATAAACAACAATATTTTCTTGGATAATTTGCGAATTGTGTAATTATGTTGCCATTTGTGGACAAGCATTAGCACAGTTTAGATCGTATCTATCCAACAAGTAGTAATACTTGTGTTTGACAAGGCACCTCTTATTTATATAAAGTATGGAGTGCCACAGGGCTGAGTATTAGGTCTTCTACCGTTTCTCAATAGGGCATTCAGGGAACATCTGGGTGCAAAAACTCTATAGTTCAGTGTTTCTGTAGTTGTCTGATTTTCCTTGAAAGCAACTTAGCGCATAGAAGGGCTGTACTGATCAGTGTGAAAGATTGATCTGATTTATTAATAGAGATCTGACCATTAATAGATTAATTAATATCAATATGCCGATTAAAGACTGTTGGGACAGATCAGGTACAGGATGGTTTTGTTACTGCCTCCACATCTGTAGCATTTTTCCAACACGTAACTCGTGTTTGGTCTCATCTGGTAGCATATGAACTAAATAGAAATTTTGTGGACTCAGAGATACTAAAATATCTTAATGTACAATCTAGAAATTATTTTTGAAAAAAAGTAAGTTTGTTCAATTCCATTTTTTTTTTGACACCATAGGAGTCAATGTAATTGACATATCAACTCTATTTACCTTACAGCAAAACAGGGTCAGGAATGATACAAGATTGCAGTTGGTATTAGACACTTAATTTTTTTCTTGACATGTAGCCTTAAATTCCCCTTAATAAAACAACACACTTTTAGCGTGACTGTCCAATTTAGCAATGACACTACCTTGAAATTATGAGTAGCTATCAACATGGTTGCCAATACCTAATTTTACAGAGGGAAAAGTTATGAGAAACAGCCGTGGTTGAATGTAATTTCAGAATTAAACAAACAAGAAAGAAGGAATTCCTTAATGAATTCATGTCATTATAATGGCTGAGTGATGACGCTACACCCATACAATCATGTGCATTGTGCACGTCTATTTTAACAGGTGCACAAATACATACAATATTGTATACTTTTTGGTTTGTGTATTCTCAATGTGAGTTTTTGATTATTTAAGGTTTGGTTAATGACTATGAATACAAATAGGTTAAACATGGAAAAGCAAATATATATTTATTGCATTAATATAACATAAATTAAGCAACAAAGCTGGCATGTATAATTACAAACTTAAGTCAACAAGGAAAGTAAATTCCTGTGCTGGAGTTGAGTCAAGGAATCAAATTTTTTTAACCGACTCCCCGACACTGTTTGCGGAGGGCAAACAGGGTACAAAACACTTGCCAATGGTGAATGAACCAAGAAATATTTCAATACAATATCCAAACAATATTTGCAGTATTTTAATAAAAATATTTTATTGTCATTATCAGACATCTCCTCACTCCCAGAAGGTCCGAGAGTACCCACATACTGCTAGTGGATCTCTGACGCCTGCAAATTGCATATAATGAAAGAAATTGGCCACTAGTTGGCGCTAACGAGTTTTATGGCTCTGTAATCACGTGGTGTTTCACACATCCACACAATATGCATATTATTTGATAGATCTCCTCATAATGAGCAACTTTGCCTCAAGAACCATTCCTGTCAATCAAATCGGTCATTAAATATTCACAAATATGTTAAAAACCTACTTTTGCGAACTAGTCCTAGGTTTTTCACTCAATCTTGATCAAACCACTGCAGTAATATTCTCTGGAGTCTCCAGATCAATAATTATCAAAACAATTTAGAATTTTGTCCTTTGGTTGGCTATAACGGGGTCATTTATAAAAGGGGTGTGGCCACATATACCCAAAAGCCTAAAAAACCTAAACAAAAACTTGAAACTTTATGAAACTTGGTGAAAACATGTGACAGATAACTCGTAACAAGCATGCACATTTTCATGGAGATCGGACTATAGGTGGCGCTATAACAGTTAAAACAGCCTCAAAAACACAGTATTTCTATAGTAAATGACCTCAAATTGCAATAAAATGTTCATATATTCACTTATACACTATATCTTCATTTCATATGATAGATCTCCTCATTCTGAACAACTTTGCCTCAACTTTGCGGCTCACTGCTGTTAAAAGTATTTGAGATTATTTAAAAAACCCACTTTTGTGAACTAGTCATAGGCTTTAAACTTAAAACCAATAAAATCACTGCAGTACACTTCTCTAGACTCTCTTGGTCAATAATTACCAAAAAATGTTGAACATTTGCATTAAAGCTCAAAACTTCATGAAAGGTGAGCCTATGTGTCATATGATTGTAGACAAGCATGCAAAATGCTAAATTTATGGTGCTCAGACATCAGTTGCCTCTATAATGGTTAAAAAGGTGAAAAAGTACATTTACATGGCCAAATCCCTGGAATTGACATTTTAACCACTAGATGACAGTAGAAGACCATTAATTGGCTCATTCTGCTTACTAATATAGCTCTATTTACAGGTCTGCCATTTGTATTCATGCCTATAAATTATAAAGTCACTATGATAACATTCAATATCACATTTTGTCAAACTTTACCACTTAATTTGCATGGAGGAATCAAATTTTGCAATTATGCCACATCATGATTGCAGTGAGCATTTTGTTACCTATCATTTACTTTAAATCTCTATATCTTCAACAATATGTGTTTGCATGTGTAAATATGCTTACTTTGTATTAAGTATTATGCTTAAGCCCTTTCATTTCAGGTTGTGTATGTGTGTGTGTGCGAAATATCCAAAATTTCAGGTTGGCCTAGGCCATAACAGCTTAAATGCAATAAAGGCCTTAAAGTGCTTGAACCCCGGTAATCGCTGCTTGCAGCTATATTTGCTGTAATTGTTATTGCTGCTTCCATAGACAACCTTGTGTATTTTACAAATTCTAAATGTATTGTTTTACTAGTACTTAAGTATATTTAAATGTATGAAACCTAAAATAAACATTATGTGCTTTAAAAAGTGCAGAGAGCGTCTCAGCGCCAGCCAAAGCGCGAAAGCACTGTTTGAATTAGGCAGTTATGTGATGTTCTAAATCCCATATGTGGGACCGTACTCCCAGGGGCACCTAAATAAAAATCCCACATGTAGGACCATACTGTTCAAAAGGTTAAAGTGTGTGTTTGGTGATTCCATTACAAGTTGTCAACTGAGATGTATTTACTGTTTCGACCTAGTACACAAGCGTTTAGAAGGAATCTCCTATGACCACTTCTATTCAGATTTCATCACACTTTACGGGGGCCACCCAAGTATGCCGCACAAGTCCTGAAAAGTGATGCCAAAATGTTTCGATCGTCCCCAGGTGGCTGGACACAGTATAGGTCATGTAATCTATTGGGACGTGTGACAATATATTAACTAAATAATCAAATTATGCTTCAAATACATTTCTTCCAAAGATGGTTTCTGTCATTTTAGGTAGTTATTACCATGCTGATGTATGTTCAAGCATATAAAATATATAAATATTTAAAAATGGGGTGTGGCGTCATGGTTGTGATCTTGCGATTGGGTCTGTGGAATTTTGGGCGGGACTTTTGATACCGCGGCTCCACCTCATGATCACTACTTTGCAGACTCTGGCTGCAAATAACGTAATTTTTAGGTGATAACAGCCGCCATAAGGAGATTGTTTGGCTTCACTTTTCTGTAGTGAAATTAATTGGAAATGTGTCATCCATCTTTTTTACAGTCTATGGGACCACCGAGTGCAGTTTAAGAATACCATTGAATGAACCAGTGAGCGGGAAAGAAAGCAAATGAAAAGGATAAGGGAGGACAGCTGTGATTTTGGTGCACCAAATATGGCTCACTATGCATACAGATGATACTTTTTTTAAAGCAGTCCTATTATGCTCTTTAACAAAGTTTTGATTTTGTTTTGGGGGTGTACTAGAACAGGCTATCATACTAGGTTATCATACTATTATTTTTCATTATTACAACACCTCTCTCCCCAGTCTGGCATGAACAGCTCAAATAGTTCCTGTATCAGAATCAGAATCAGAATCAGAATGAGTTTTTATTGCCAGGTATGTATCAAATGAAGGCCCGCTTTCTGAAATACGAAATGTGCTGTGATTGGTTAGCTGGGCCAGTGTGTGTTGTGATTGGCACTAGGGCTGCACGATAAATCGAAATGGAATCGAGATTGCGATTCGACAGAAACTGCGATTGTCATGCGTATCTTTCAGTGAAGCACACGGTTCTGTGATCAGCAGTAAATCTCCATCTGAAGGCCAGAGGGCGCTCTCGCGTTGAAACTCCAAATAAGCCTCGCAGAAAAACCCCAGAAAATGCCTATCGCTGCAACTGAATAAACAGAAGATTCAACTGCTTTCATTGATTCAACGTGACTAATAAACACACGACTACGGCAATATACGGTTTATCGGAGTTCTTATTATTATAATTTTCATTAAAATAAAGTATATTTATAATGCAATGCCTTTATCACTGCTTAAATACTATGAAATATGTTGCGTGCCTTATTCTGTGTAAGAAGCCACATCATCTCACAGAAGGATTGATTTCAAACACTCGACTGATGTTATGAAGTGAGTTTGGAGTAAAAATATGTTATTAAATGTGGTATTTTCACATGCTTTCAGATGGAGCAGCATTTACTTCACAGAGCCGTAGTTCACTGAGAAGCTATGCAAACAGCTGTCATTATCGCAAACAATTTCAGAATCGCGCAATAAAATCGTCTGCGTCTGAGAAGAGACGAATTGTTGAATAAAGTCGTTATTTTTGTTTTCTTTGCGTACAAAAAGTATTCTCGTCGCTTCATAACGTTACGGTTGAACCACTGATGGCAGATGGACTATTCTGACGATGCCTTTCATACTTTTCTGGACCTTGACAGTGTTATTTACTTGGCAGTCAATGGGACAGTCACAAGCCTCCCGGTTTTCATCTAAAATATCTTAAATTGTGTTCCGAAGACGAACAAAGCTTTTACGGGTTTGGAACGACATGGAGGTAAAGTGATTAATGACAACATTGTCATTTTGGGGTGGCGTATCCCTTTAAAAATGAAGATTATAAAAGAAACGTTTATTAAGAACCAGAATTTAAAATGATATTAAAAGGTATTAAAGGCATGCAAACTTTGGAAAAAGGAATCTTTTTGGCATTCAGACAGGTATGTTCTATGCAATTGTTTTGATAGAGGAAAACAAGATACATTTCCAGCTTCAACACTATTTGTTCTGCAGACATTACTCTTTAAAAGAAAAAAGTATAATCTGTAAGCATCTATATGACCCACATTTGGTTTTCATCACTATACATGTTCATCTTTCTTTAGAAAAAAATATTGACAAAATCTCAAATTTGAGCAGGGGATCTCTGATTGAGTTGACATGGAACTATATTATGGAATAATTATATTGGGGGGTGGGGGTGTTCCTCACATCGTGCGTCTTAATGTGCAGAAAATCTCACAAGCGCTACTACAGGGAGTTCAGGATGAGAAACATTATTCACAACAGATGCTTTCTCTAGTGCACAATTTGTGTTTTGATTTGAAACTGATTGGGTTGCTCAATTTAAATCATCTATCATGTTGCAGTTCATCATAAAATGATTGGCAACTGGCCATTTTAATGGCTCACCAAAATGAAGAAATTTTCTTCTTAAATGAAGAAAACATGTAGACAACATACAGTAATTCTACCAAGCTGTGATGGGGGAAAACCTTTTAAACATATGACTTATTTATCACTTAATTCCAATCATATTTACTGCTAATGGACGATTTGCACTGAGCCTCGTGATGCACTTTCGTTTTGAAATAATACTGCCCGGTTATTTCCAGTTAGGTATATTTTCAATATGCTGTAATCATCTTGTTGACACTTATTAAAAATGAGAGTCCGCGGGATGATTTCAAAATCCGGACATTTCAGAGACGGGAGAAGAAATATTCTGATGATTACTGTGTACAAATCACGACTGAGGTGCCCTTGAGCAAGGCACCGAACACCCAACTGCTCCCCGGGCGCCACAGCAAAAAAAGGCTGCCCACTGCTCCGGGTGTGTGTTCACGGTGTGTGTGTGTGTGTGTGTGTGTGTGTGTGTTCACTGCTGTGTGTGTGCACTTTGGATGGGATAAATGCAGAGCACTAATTCCGAGTATGGCTTGGCCACATGTCACTTCACATGATGCACGTTTGGAAGGTAGAAGATGATTTATGTTAATGCAGAGAATATTATCATTTTCTTGTTTTTTTTTTAATTGCCAGCCATAAAACGTAGTAATAATCTGCATTCTTATTAAAATCGGTCTGTATGTATGTGCGCTAAACGCTGACCGGAGCTGTAATAAGTAGAACACGGAAATAGTTGTGCAAGTAGTCCATTAAGTTTTTTATGCTCATTAATATGTTTTTGATCCCCTGATTTATTTATTTCTTTTTTTTTACTTCCAGGAGTACAAGGCAAACAGGTGTTTTTATTCAGTCCACCATTCTTCAAAAATATCATTGATTTCTGTAGAGGTCACTATTTTATTAAGGATCAAATGACTTCAGCTGAACTCAAATGAGTGAGTTCAGCTTTGGGAACAGAAACCCACCTGTTTGTTCCTCAATATCTTCTTGTTTCACTCTGAACGTTTCTTCAATCTTCACGTCTTCACTCTCCTCTTTTATAAACGCCATCTTTATAATAGTGCGTCACGTGGCTCTTTGCTTCCACCAGGAGTTTTTCTGTGTGTTTGGACAATGTATCATGTTTAAGATGAGAATAATTAACAGGGGGGAAAAAATAAGATGAGAATAATTAACAGAAAGAAGGGGGGAAAATCCAGTCTAAAACTCTGGGTGTGTCGCAAATCAGCTCCTTAGTTCAGTAGTCAGCGCACTGGCTAGTCAGAGTAATAGTTAATGGCCTGATTAGCCAAAAACACTCAAAAATAGCATAACAAATTACCGTATTGACCCGAATATAAGATGATGGTTTTTTCTTGGAAATACATCTGAAAAAACGCGGTCGTCTTATATTCAGGGTCTAGACTTTGACATGGTTTATGCTGGTCCTTTTGCTGGTTTAAGCTGGTCCTTTTGCTGGTTTAAAATCAGCAAAAGGACCAGCATAAACCAGCAAAGGACCAGCACATGACCAGCATAAACCAGCAAAAGACCAGCATAAACCAGCAAAAGGACCAGCATAAACCAGCAAAGGACCAGCACATGACCAGCATAAACCAGCAAAAGACCAGCATAAACCAGCAAAAGGACCAGCATCCCAGCGTCAAAACATACCTAACCAACATATGCTGGTTTTTTCAACAGGGTTGTAGCTGTTTTCTGATTTGCTTTCAGACCTCCTTCTCACATTTGTCCTCAAAAGTGTCAGGAAGATTCTTGGTCAGCACTGTTTGGCTCTCAGCCTCTTTTAGATTCAGGGCAGAGGCCACTGGCACTTCTGGATGGGATGCCCTGAGATCAGCCAAGTCCTTCAGAATCTCTTAAGTGCTGCAGTATAGATACAGTATAGGAAGTGTTTTCACAGACTCTGTGTCTGCAGGTTGTTTAACTCCTCTACAGGGGCAGGATAGCCACCTTTCCAGTTTTTATAAAGATAAAAGCCATTCAAGCATACTAGAGAAAATAGAATATCCCGCCCCAGTTCATACTCTTTTAAAATGAGAAGACATGAAATGCTCATTTCAAATACATTTGCTGGGTATTTCACAGCCGGTTCATGGACAGTGCAATTAAGTGTTTGATGACTGCAATGTCATTTATTTGAATTATATGTGATGACTGCTGCTAGAAGTAAAGTGATTAATAGTGGCATCTAGCGCTCAGATTAGTAATACAGTTGATATTAATGTTAATATAACAGTAATACACAAGTGACATAATTACTTGTTAATCAACAATAAAAAAAATAGGAATTAAAAGTAACTCCTCCATAATAAATTTTTTAATGAGTAAATAGTATAAATTGAAGAAACTACACAGACAGCCACAATTAATTTTGTACAATTAATAAAACATATTTCAACGTCTGTATATTACCTGTGTTTGTCTGTGGCCCTTATTAGCAAACCTGTTAGGTAGTTGCTACTCTGGCACTTTTGAAAAATGCATATAAACAACAATAAAAAAAAAAAAAAGTGTCTTATTACTGAAAAAGTTTTCTGCCCCGGTGTCTGAATCTCACATATTTAGATGCAGTACATTCTTTTTCATTGAATTATACATATTTAAATATATGTTATACAATGCTGAAAATGACTACCAATTATAAATACCTCTGACATGTTTTGTGTGTGTGTGTGTTTGCATGTACATTTATTTGCACTTTTGTGTTCCCAGACAGCAGCGCGTGTCCAGGACTTTTATTTTGGTCTGGCGATGTGACGTCATAAGGCTGCGTCGCACTCCGGGGTCTGTTTTGATTCATCTTTAGAAAGGTTTGTGTTTTTAAAGCGTGTATGGTGCGATTTGCCACTTAAAAGAAGAAGCAGCAGCATGTAAGGTAATTATATCAGTGCCTAAAATGCCAATTCAATTCATAGCGTTTACAAACTGTGTGAAATGAATTATTATTGAATGTAGCAGTGCAATGCTTAGTTTAAGAAACGTTACGAATGAAGAGCATCAGCACTTTATTAATAGATTAGAAGGTGCATCTAATTTCACTCCACATATCGAGAATTGGTATATAGACAAGTTTATAGACAACTGAATGGATTTTTGTATATTATTTTTTTTATTATCTGTGTCTTGTCTTGTCACTGTCATTCTGTTGCACTGTGGAGCTTCTGTCACTAAAACAAATTCCTCGTATGTGTAAACACGCCTGGCAATAAAGCGCATTCTGATTCTGAATCTGAATGCATTGCTTCACAAAATGATTCACTCATTCCAGGCGCTCCAATAAACTGTTGGTTATAATAATGCAATGGGAACACAAACAAGAGTAACAACTTTTACCAGCCAAATGCAAATGCTTTCATTATGTTTTAATTAATCAAAATGAATATGAATAACATCTTAAATAGTGTCTGTAGTTTGGCCAATAAGGCCATTTAAAATCATTAACTATCACCCTGACAGTACTTGACCAGTGCACTGACTACTGAGCTAGGGAACTAATAGTCAAGTCAAGTCTGCTTTGTCAATTCTTCCACATGTACAGCGCATACACACAGAGAATTGAAATTGCGTTACTCTCAGACCCTTGGTGCATACAGATAACACTAACAGTAGAACATAAATACAGATAGAATTTGTATTCAGATGCATTAAAGGGATAGTTCACCCAAAAATGAAAGTTCTGTCATTAATTACTCACCCTCATGTCATTTCAAACCCGTAAGACCTCCGTTCATCTTCGAAACACAAATTAAGATATTTTTGATGAATTCTGAGAGCTCTCTGACCCTCTCATAGACAGCAATGTAATTACCACAATCAAGGTCCAGAAACGTAGCAAGGGGATCTGTAAAATAATCCATGTGACATCAGCGTTTCAACCGTAATTTTACGAAGCTACGAGAATACTTTTTGGACGCAAAGAAAACAAAAATAACGACTTTACTCAACAATTCGTCTCCTCCGCGTCACCCTGGTGCCATTTTGGAGAATATCCACTGAACGTAAACAACGTATGCTATTCTGTGTCAGCTGCGTCATGCAGTTTTCGTTCAAATCTAAGAGTAAACAACGTAGAAAACGTATCCGCATGACACAGCTTTTTTTCACATACTTTTCTTTGCGTACAAAAAGTATTCTCGTAGCTTCGTAAAATTACGGTTGAAACGCTGATGTCACATGGATTATTTTACAGATCCCCTTGCTACGTTTCTGGACCTTGATTGTGGTAATTACATTGCTGTCTATGAGAGGGTCAGAGAGCTCTCAGAATTCATCAAAAATATCTTAATTTGTGTTTCGAAGATGAACGGAGGTCTTTCTGGTTTGAAACGACATGAGGGTGAGTAATTAAAGACAAAATTTCAGGGTGAACTAACCCTTTAATAGATTTTTAGATTTATTTTAAATGTTTTTCTTTCTGTTAATTGTTCTCATCTTAAATATGACAGTGTCCCCAAACACTCAGAAAAACTCCTGCTGAAGCAACTGAGATCCACGTGACACACTATTATAAAGATGGCGTTTATTAAAGAGGAGAGTGAAGACATAAAGATTGAAGAAGCATTCAGCGTGAAACAAGAAGATACTGAGGAACAAACAGGTTGGTTTTCATTCTCAAAGCTCAAATCTACAGAAATGAATGATATTGTTGAAGAATGTCATGTGAGTGTCCTAACATATGAGTGAGCACCAGTGTAATTAGAATGTTCATTGCGTCAACTGGTAAATTCAAACCTGCTTTCACGCTTTGGCTGCTGTAGAGCCAGTGCTGGACATGCTTAGTTCTTTTCATATATCGCAACTGTTCAGTGTTTTCAACCATATGTTGCTTATTTCGTTACAGCCATTTAAATACACATAAGAACATGTTTTAATTTACTTGTCTGGTCATGCAGGTGAAAGTCTCTTTCACTTGCCTCTTTAAAAAAAAAAAAAACACTAGTTGTCACACTTCTCGGGAGGCAAGGAACGAGGAAACACGGAGATAACGTCAATTCAGTCTTTAATGATCACACGGGGTACGTAGGAGACACTGGAACACAAGGAATGACGTTTGAGGACCGACAAACACTAACTGAAAGGACTGGGGCTTTTAAACACTGGGTGATTGGAAAAACACAGAATGGCCACCGACTCCAGGGGGCCGACCAACAGTGGAGGAGCAGGTGGTGGAGGAGCCCGAGACGTAGAGCCAACAAGCCAGGGGGATGCCGAGGATCCGGGGGGCCAGGGTGGAGCCGAAGGCTCTGGTGACCAAGGCGGAGATCCGTGGTGGAGCTGAAGCGACTGAGGACCAAGGTGGAGCTGGCGGGAGGAAGGAGCCCAATGGAGCTTAGTCCAGGCCTCGGCGGCTGGAGGCAGAGGTGAAGGACACTCCAACCACGGTGACGCTGGAGGATGGCAGTCTCGCGGGGCTCGCACCGCAATGATGGTGGGCAGAGGGGCTGACTGCGGTGGAGGAGACTGGAGCAGGTGGGAGGGCGGGCATTTTTGAGGAGCGGCCACTGGAGGGCGCTTTCTAGGAGCGGCCACTGGAGGCCTCCCCTCTTCGTTTTGGCACTTATGTCCCGCCATAGTCCGCTCACCCTCAGCCATGATGCAGGGGCGGAGCTCCTCTCTGCACTCACACCGTCCATGGCTTGCTCCCTAGTGGTGGGCACTGTCGCCGGCTCTCACACCTGGTCTGACGGATTGGGCTCAACTTCCGAGGCAATCCTCTGCTCAGTCGCTTGGCTTCGCTCTGGCTCGCGGATCACGGGGGGGTGCGCCGTACC